GTACCGAGATATTAAAGAATATGTAGCGGCATGCGATACTGCCACGAGTCAAAGCCGAGACACTCACAACCGACTTCTCCAACCATTGCCAATCCTTTGTCTAATATGAGATGATATTTACATAGACTTTATCGAAGGACTGCCTATCTCACACGGACAAAATACTATCTTGATTGTGGTTGATCGTCTTAGTAAGAGTATGCACTTTATCGCTTTGGCTTACCCTTACACTGCTAAGACCATGGCAGAAAAATTTGTGGACAATGTGGTAAAATTACATGGTATGTCTCACTCCATAATTAGTGACAGAGATCCGGTCTTTACTAGCCATTTCTGGCAAGAGTTTTTTAAGTTGTCTGGCACCCAGTCCAAATGAGCTCCTCCTACCATCCGCAAATAGATGGACAGTCAGAAGTTGTGAACTGCAGTGTGGAATAATATCTACGGTGCTTAAGCCACCAACAACCACGTAAGTGGAGTTCTTTCCTTCCTTGGGCTGAATTTTAGTACAACATAACCTACCACTCCTCTATCAATATGACACATTTTCAAGCCTTGTATGGGAGACCACTGCCGCCCATTCCTCGTCACCAAGACGGCTCAACCTTTGTCAATGAAGTTGACCAACAACTTTGTAACCGGGATGCCCTCATCAAACAACTTCGCACTAATTTACAAGTAGCCAATAGTAGCAGGAAAGCCACCGCCAATGCCCATCGATGTGAAGTCGAATTTCAGGAGGGCAATTGGGTCTTTCTCAGGCTCCAACTATATCGGCATCAAACAGTTTTCAAGAGAGCCTTTTAGAAGCTCGCATGTCGATACTACGGGCCCTATAAGATCCTCCGTCGAATTGGCCCCATTGCTTACAAGCTTGTACTTCCACAAGGGTCACGTATCCATTCCGTTTTCCACGTCTCCATGTTAAAAAAATAGATTGGTGATGCAATTGCCCCTACTGAAAATCTGCCTGAAATATTTGAAGATGGGGACCTACTGCTGCAACCCCAAACCATTTTGGAAACCCGAGGGGTCAAAAAGGGAGCAAAATTTATTGAAAAAAGTCTTGTCCAATGGAAGAATTTGCCCCTAGAAGAAGCTACCTGGGAAAATAGCAGCGAACTAACAGATAAATTTGGCCACTTGAACCTTGAGGGCAAGGTTCCTGCAAAGAGGGAGGTAATGATACAATCCGAATATCAGCAAGAATTCCAGTCAAGAATCTTAAGTATCTCTGATTCTGGTATCGTTGAAACAAATAAAACCCCCGAAAATCCGGTCAACTATTCAACATCAACTTCTATGTTTTTTTTTAATTATTTAATTCCAACATTATCTTATCTTTTTGTTGAGATTTTTTTGGTTGCTACTAGCCGTTGTACTCCCTGGATAGCAGGGAGAAGTTGTTGTTTCTATTCCTATTTAAAGCCCCATCAGATTATGGATGAGGCAATAATAAATTAACAAGAAAATTGTGGGTTTTTCTATCACAAAAATAAAAACTTACGTGCAATCCTTCTTGCGTTTTTCTGGGCATCTATCAAATACTGATTATCTTTGTATTTTTAATGTGAGTTTTTACCACCATTATTGATTATGAACCTTCTTTTTCCTTGACCATCTCCTTTTAGTGGAGTTTGCTTCATTTTGTCTTTTTGCTTCATTTTTTGTTCATGAAGAACTAAAGAATTCTGCAATTAATCAATTGAAAATTCATTGGTGTCTTTAAATTTTTCAACTGAATAGTGTAATTGAATTTTAATGTAATAGAACGAAGTATTTTCTCAACAATAGTAACATATTCCAGTTTTTCGCCATGAATATGCATTTTATTTACAATTGTCATAACCTTTGAAAAATAATTTAAAACTAATTCTCTTGTCTTCATGTGTAAAGTCTCAAATCAGCACAAAGAGCTTGAAGTTATGCTCATTTCATTTTTATTGTCCCCTAATGTTTTCTCTTCATAGAGTGTCAAATTTATTTTGAAATGTCTTTATAAAGATTGATTTCTAAAATTGACCAATCATGTAGAAAAGATAATCATTTACTTTAAAATCTTTTAACTTATGTACTTTGATCTTCGTTTTTTGAGTGTCTGTCAATATATTACTTATTGGTTCTACTACTTCAGAAACAACCACAATCTAATACTCTTTGAATCTTAAATTTTTTTTTATCAGAATACTTTAATGGTTATAATGACCATCAAAATTTGAAATTGTTAGTTGCACAAAGTTTTCACGAGTCATATATTTTTATCTAATAAAGTTGTTACCTTTACTTTTGAAAAGTTTTGTTTAAGAAGAGTAAAATAAAAATAAACTCAGAGAAGAGAGAAAAAATAAAAAATAATCTAAAATTTTAGCCGATAGACTAACTTTTAAATAAATAAATTGCAGTAAAAATATCTACGAATTTCTATTGATTACATTTACACTTATCGTCTTCTTATATAATAGGTACGATCTATATATATGAGGTTTATCACTTGCTGCTTTTTTCAATAATGAGTAAAATATCTGTAAAAAAAAATTTATCACTTATAAATTTTTTAGATAATAAATAATTTAAATTAATTAATAATTCTAAAAAAAATAAACATTAAATTTATTTAACAAAAATTTAGTCATATTTAGAACAATGCGTTGCATCACGCGCCATCACCGTTGCATCAATGCCATGTTCTTAGTCATCCATAATTGCTATGTGATTTTTGTTTACATTTTTTAAATTATGAATTTTTGTATATTTTCTAAAAATATTAAATGATTTTTTGAAATTTGCCTTTGATACTATGAGCCTACGATAACAGTATTTTTTTTAATTAAAAGAAAAAAGAATGAAGGTGTGTTTTTTATAGATTATAAGAAAAGCCTTAAATTTTTTTTATGCATATGTAATAAGGACTATTAGTTAAAAAACATAATTCGCGCTTTGATGAAAATTATAACTTAAGGTCAAAGAACACAAAAGATATTAGAATTATTAGTAAAATATAAATTAAATATTTATTGGGAATTAGTAGTGACTGATTTCAACCAGCAATTATAAGAGTTTGGAAAACTACACTCGGAAGTTTGATTGAGATCCAGTACGTATAAATCTTATTTTAGAACTCGAAAAGAAAAATATCAGTGTGGGTTCACGACAGATTAATTATTTAGATAATTTGCAGAGGTTTTATGTAAGTTTTTTTAAAGTATGATTTTTGTGTATTACATCGTCTTTTTCTTTGCAAACCATCTAAACAATCAAAATTTTGCAGGATCATAGACGTCAAATTTACTAATTCTTTTATCACAGTTCTCAAACTCTTTCGCCACTTTTGTTTTACAGCAGTTTCTTTTCGAGAAAAAGAACCGAAAAAATAGAACTAGTGTTTGAATAATAATTTCCATACCTGTTAGTTTATTGAGGTTTGTAATGCTTATTCAATCATAATAATTATGTGGTAATTTTCAAACTAATATACATTTATAATTAAACAAGAAACTGAACAACCACCGGTAATTAACCACTTCTTTTGCCAGCCAGCTAAAATCCCATATAAAAGATCGAAAGACTTCGACAAAAGGAATCATATTGTTATTTCAAAGCTTCAAGTTAAATTAACGTTTTATTGCTTCTTAACAAAGATAAAACTGTTCTTAGGAAGGGCTTGGTCAAAATTTTGTGGAGTCTTGCCATGAACAAGGTTACGTCATTTTAACATCTTATGGAATGGAGTAATAACCAACTGCAACTATTTAAGCTACAACCCTAACATTCATTTATATCATTAATGCAGACCCTTACGCTAGACCCAGTATATCTGTAACGTTACCATCTTAGTTGATCTGCTTCGACACTAGGCCGTCAACCTGCTACTAATATTCTTTTTACTCTAACTTTACTACCTTGAGGTATAAGGCAGCCATATGCCAGATCCTCATTAGCTGTTCGTGGCCAATCCTTGCCCAGCTTCTCTTCGGCGCGTTATTGTTACTCTTGCAAAGATATTTTCCAGTTTCCATGCTTCTTGTTATTGCACATGATCAACATGTATAGAGATAGCTCCGACAATGCTTAACAGAATTCAGATTATCAAATTATTTTTTTGAAAATAATTATTAAATTAATTTGACCAGAGAAAAAAAAACCTCCAGAAGAAGCAATAATGAGTCAGAAGCTTACTACTGCCCCGGAGAAGGTGTAATAGTAGTTCTTTAAGATAGGATAAAATGCAGCCATTGTGCTTATCACTTGTCTATAACTTTTGGTAAAATGGCCTTGCCCAAATAAACCTGTTGCATCTCCTCTCTCCAGATCTGTAAGAGGTAAGAAAACCACATTGCAGGCTTAAGACTACATGTTCTTGGTGTAGAAATGGACCAAGAGGAGCAAGACAATCCATGTTATGAAAGATATGGTAACGAGCAAGTCAAATAAATCAGAGTAAAGCTCTGGAGAGAACAAAAACAAAAGAAATCTTTCTCTTTTAGGGTCAACATACCGTCTCACGAAATTCCACCCTGATATGAGGCACATTTGTTTTGCGAATATCATTGCCATCAGGTCCTCTTTTGTAGTGCTCTTTCCCAATCCAGTGCGACTAGAAGTTAAAAATTTCTTATGCATCAATCGTACATAAGCAGTGATAGGAATAAAATTCGCAAACACTATAATTGTATTTAAAAGTCTAAAAACATACTACAGCCGACTGGCCATAAAAATGTTAGCATTTACCAGTTATAAGCCATATCCATGCTGCCTTCAATTAACTTTAAAAAAAAATTTAAAAAAAACGGAAACAATCAAGATACTCCTGCTCAACCTGACATGGTTGCTTCTATTACAATACTAGTGCAGGAATATTCTTTTGGAACAATCAACACTATTAATGATAGTTATTCGCTACAACTAATTAAATTTCTAAAAATGTACATATGCCAAAAATATGCAGCAGAAAATACATAAAAAAAATTAAATCATTTAGTTTTGTTAAGTTTTCAAATACCAAATAAATTAAATAAAATTAGAAAGATACATTTATGGTAGATATGTACTAGAAAAAATAAAAGTAAAAGAAAGACAGTACAGCTTGAGAATAGAATAAAACGGGAAGAAAACAATATTCAACTATAAGTAGGGGAACTATAAGAAATTATTTGTAGTAAAAAAAATATAAAGAAAATAGTGATTATTGTGAATATAAAGTTTGGTCATTTAGAAACAAGTTATCTTAAAAACCTACAAAATCATAATAAGAACGTAATAACACCCAGAAAACCTACATTAAATAGCCAATACACTATTTCCTACCCAATATGACAGGCAATATTAACTGGTGTGCCAAATTGACTAGTTTTGGCAAGTATTTTACCTGGGTACTATTGTTAGAACAATACTAGTACGATATTTACTATATTGAAGAAAGATTATAGGAAAAGAAAATAGAAATGAAAATGCAGTCAATTTTAGTATGCCAGAGTTGGGGAAAGCTGATCCACCAGTCAGTCAGCTCAATAACCAAGTTCCCCTTGTTAGAACTAGCATGCTAACAAAAAGACTTCTGACTCTTTCACCCCGTCAATTTTATTGACAAGTTCCATATAATTCTAAAGGTTAAATTGCACAAAAATCTTCAAGAATTTGGTACAGTTACAACTAGGTCCACATTTTTTTAAATAAACTATACAGTCCTTTCATCCATTTACTGTTGCAAAAATATGATCGACAAACTACAATAGACATACTCATTCTCATACACCTACCATTGTGTTTTTTCTTAACCATATCAACTAAAACAGTAATTATTTTGTGTTTTCTCAACCAAACTTACTTATAAAGTTGTTTTTTCAATTATTTGACAATCAAGTGACACATTTAATATACTAAACTATCAAGAAACTATATTTAATTGATGGATATACTTTTTATGTGATGATTAAATTATTATTTTCTAGAAACTGTGTAAGCAATAATAATTATATCCAAGCTTTTAAGAACTTCTATGTAATTTACCAGATAGTAAAACACACTTGACCAATTTCCTAAAACTCTAGAAAATTACAGGCTTTACAAATGGCAAGATCATATCATATTTGATAATTTTCCTAATCTACCTCTCTCACAATTGACAAAACTGCACTACATTCAGACGTAGAAATAAGCTTTTATGTTTAGACATCTACACCATATCACACTCCCAATCCCGTCACTGTTTCAACTGATGAGAAGCAGCTTCATTCTAAATTATCGGCACATGAAAAACAGATCAGGATAAGAGGATACCTTCAGAGCATGTGAGAAACCAGACTGATAGACTGAATTACGGGCAATCTCACATAGATCACAAGAACTCAACTTCCATACCTAAGGAAGAGTTTTCAATATATTATAATAAACACAATATGTATATCTTTTATCTGCATGCATAAACACAAATATATGTATCACTTTATCTGCATGTGCATATGAGAGCAAGAAGAGAGTCTCACAGATGCAGCGATACTATATTCCTCCACCAAAGGTTCTTTTGTTAAGTGGATTTGGAGTGGATCATCTGTAGAGAGGGAAACGTTAAGGCCCCTTAAGAAGAAAATTGGAAAAGGGTTCCGATGATAGTCCAAAAATAACGAGTTGTTGCTCAGAGGAGACATAGCCAATCCAATCTAATAACCAATATGAATAAAAGGTCAGACACTATACACAGAAAGATGAAATTAAAACAAGGAAGAAAAAAACTAGAACAGGATTTCTCTTTCTTCTCACCTGCGCCAAATAATACAGATACTGAAGCACAGGAGACTTCCTCAAATTTATTCCATGTGCAATATTATGAGCAGTAAGAAATGTCGCAGCAAGGTGGTCAATATCCCCCGCCTGAAAATATCAGACGTGAAGCATCTCGAATTTTTTTTTTTAAAAAAAGAAATCCTGGATATCACAGAAGAGAAGATAAATATTCAGAGTACCTCTCCAGAATGCGGACGGAACTTTATTGTCGTCATACCCTTCAATTCACGAAGCTGAAGAAAGGAACATTTGGAAAAAAACTTAAATAACAAGAAGCTATCAGAACCTAGCATGAAAGAAGCAACCACTTCAAATAAATCATGATTCTTTTTTCTTCTGAAAAAAAATCAAGTCAGCTAGTTATCTATCATAGGAAAAGGTCTAGTAATGGCAAATGGTGACAACTTTTATGTAGGAAGGAAAAGTCCCTCTTAAACATCTAAAAATGCTTTTGTTGCTTAGATTTGCAGACTTTCCAATTATTTTATTGGGCAAGCATTAATCAGATTAACATCCTAGATAATGTAGTTTCCCTTTCATAAAATGATTGATTGTAATGATACCTAATATACTTTCCTTTCATTGAATGATTCAAAGCATCATGTCATTTTTGTTTCAATAAATATTTTCATAAGCTACAAATATAATTACATACAGCTTTTGAAGTGGCTTCTTATTGTTTGAGCATAAACAAATTTCTTAATCGGAAAAAAAAAGAAAGTATTATAAAAAAAAGAAGTATATAAGAGGACTCCTTGTGTTAGAGTATAAAGAATAAATTGGACCTTCTCGAGATAACTAATACTTAGACAATTATTTTGTATGGTATTAGAGTAAGGGGCTGAGTTTAAATCCCACTGCTTTAGCGAATTTCAGCTTAATGTACAGTAAGTTTGAGATTGGTTCACACTTTTAACCTAATATGCTTGCATACGGGAGTATGTTTGAGTTTTTTATCAATTTAAGTTTTATTGCTTATTAAATCAAATATTCCACACTTATGTTTCACAAAAAGCACATGTGTACACGCACACACATATTTCACACTTATGCTTATAACTATACGAGAAAAAAATAAATCTAAAAATGATACTGCTAGTAGGATTTGGTTCGGAAAGAAGGTGCACCTTGTTTAATGTGTAGAGATTAGCATAGCAATAATAAGCATAGTACGAAAATGCAGGATTGAAAACATTAGTCCATTGAGCAGGCGTAGGCATGTGCTTTGTTGGACGCCTTTCTGGCTTGCTTTCATCATCAACCAAATCCAATCCAACAACCTGAGAACACAAGTATCACTTAGCTCCTACCCTTAAAAACTTCAAAGATATCAACATCAGCCCTACAAGGCTACAAAAATAAGTTGCAAGATCTTCAAGAAACAAACCTGTTTCAAGAAAACATGCAGCTGTGGATGAGAATCTGGATCCACAGTAACCTCAAACAGTGGAATAAATATATTGTCAAGAATGTTTTGGAAGGATGTCACTATCCCCATTTCCTTGTACACATTGTAGAGACGTGGAAGCTGGAAGACAAACATATTATGAGAACTATGCTACCATGAAAATTCAAATTACAACACCATAAAGGAACTAAGTATCCAACATGCAACTGTCCAACATTGCCTATAGATCCTGAAAGCTGATCACGAAAAAAAGAGTTTCTTGTAGATCTAGTTTATGATGAAACTAACAGACAAGCAATAGCATACAAAAGAATTTGTAAGTTGTGAATGCACAACAGAGAGAGAAAAGGAACTAGAGATTACGACAGTAAATTATTCCATCTGAATAATATCAAACATAAAAATGGGAACAGAAGAGCAATTGTAGCAAGCACCTGAATTAACCAGACAACATTCTCACTGTATAATTCATTATTCACAATCCAACTAGCCATTTGGTCCCACTCACTCATCTTCCTACCATAGATTGATATCCTGTATTCAGCCATCTGCAGCAACCCAACTTAAAATCAGCCAAGAAAAAAGCTACTGGATATAGTGTGATCACAAAACACAGACACACTTCTGCATCAAAAGCACTCTACTTATGGGAGAAGGCAGAGAGTTCAACAAAGTTCAGCTTTCACAAACAAATTCAAATGACTCTCAGCATTCATAGGATCAAAAATATGTCCAAGTTGATAGAAAAAAATAGAAAGCAGGTAGCAGAAAGATATGTCATAAAACAAGCTGTGGAAGCACCTGATATTTACTTGCTGCAAGATCAGAGAAAACTTGCTTCGTCAACTCAGCAAGGAAACGGCCTGCATAACAGGAGAAAACAGACACAATTTGAACATAAGGATTCTAGATCAATAAAAAAGAACACATAATTGTATACATGTATTGAACATAAATATAACAACACTATGGTATCCAGAAGCAAAAATAATATGAAGTTCCTAGCATGTCCTAAAAAATACAAAATATTTATTCTGCCAGACAAGTGATAGCAAACAAATGTCCATGTGACAACTAATAACCAAAAAACAATAAAAAAATACCTTGAATGAGATTATCCTGCTTAAGAAAGATCTCCCTGAGCCTACTTTGACCACAAGGATTGTACTTGAGATTGAACTTATCAAACCGGTGAAAAGTACTCTTGTCTGCATGAACATCCAAAAGGTCGACATTCAGGTCATACCTGTTTAAACAAGGTTCAAACTATTATATTCAACAATTCAAGCAGCAGAGGTGGAATATAATTTTTCTTTTACAAAAAAAGGAAAAACAGTGGGAGAAAATGCATAGTTTTCTTTCACAGGTGAAGGCATTAGAACATTGTTTCTAACCCGGTTAGATCCAAGCTTTCAAAAACTTCTCTCAGGGTCAAATAAGTGCCATCTCGAAATATTACAACCTGAGCAAAAAAACACAAACACATCATTGCATATCAAAAGCATTTGTAGCATAGAAAACTAAAAAAGAGAAGAACATAATAGAAGATCATAACTTGCATATTGATTCTACATCACCAAAAAAAAAAAAAGGAAATGAAGGATCTAAACAAAACACGAATGGATCTCAAGCTTTCAACATAAGTATGATCTACATTCATGATTCGAGCAAAATCTTTAGTAATCACTTTTAAACTATAGAATCATTCCATTCACGAATCCAGAAAATTTTTTTCCGTTTGTAATGAACAAATGCCATCATACATAAACAGGTATGTGATTGAGAATATGTGAAGGAGCACTACTAATTGTTAGTAAATTCCCCTCTAAGCAATGTTGCAAACTTCAGGAAATTGTGCATTTATTAATTGTAGAAAGAATATTTTGACAGGCACTTGAGTAAACATCGTCAGGAATATTCAAGCAGTTACCTCATCCGGTTCCTTCCTTAGCTTTGACTTAATAAACCTTAGAAGATGTTTCTGGTTCATGCACGCCGAGTGGTGAACGTGCGTATCAACTTTTCGGACATTATAGAAGTCACGATGTGGTGCACTTTTCTGAGCAAGAAATTCCTTATCCGCATTAAGCATCAAATGAAGATTGAATTTCTGATGCCATACCAAGATGAGCATGATGTCAAAGTCTTTTCAAAAAAGAATCACTCATTTCAGAGTTATAGTTATAGTTTTAAATTTACTAACTTGCTCCAGAAGAACCAGCCGGTGATGACATAAAGTTCTGATATTTCCTGTTGCTATAACTCTAAGTATATTATGCAAGTCAGTGAAAAAGGTTGTAGCATCGGCAACAGGGAAAAGCTCTTGTTTTGCTGTTTATGAAAAAAGGTTCAAAAAATAAGGGAGCGATAAAGAGGACTTGAGTTTGTGAACAATAACAAATATGAAGGATAGAGAAGCATTTCTGTGCAATTAGCTACTTACCATCTTTATTTGCATAGACATGGATGACGCCATCTTGCATCTCAAAATAGTGCTGCAGAGAAGTTGAAGCACATTCATTCAAACAAAAGAGCTAGTACAAAACGTAAGTGATTTCTCCCCCGTATTATGAAGATTGAAAATATAAACTTACATCAGATTTTCCCTCGGGACTGTAAGCAAATGGCTCCGGATTAGGCTTTGGAGTACTGGGGTCTGATATAACTTCTTTTTCCCATGGAGCAACTGCTTCTTTGAAGACATATCTTTTCCGCATTTCAAGGCATTCTTGCAGAACCACGTAGGCTTCAACTTCATCTGGAGATGGCATATCTGGAAAGAATTTTAAGATTAGAAAAAAGACCAGGAGTTCTAATGAGCTTCATTTTAAGATCGGTAGACTAACACAGCTCAGCTCTTGCAAATTTACAATAAAAAAATATCGGAAAAAGCACGAGCATATGATTTCTAACTTATCAGTGATATGAATTTAAAAAGTTCAACCAGAACATCAAACCCAACTACAAGCCACTTTTCCGCTCTAAGTTTACTGGGCTCTAAGGTTCTATTTTGTATATGTCACCATAAGTTGTTGCAGTCACCATACTGTCCTTTCTTTCACTCTTGACATTTATCACATGCACAGGTTTTATATAGTTGTGAAATTTGCAGTAACAGGAAAATACATAGTTAATGGACCAGTTAAAATAACCTTCAATTGCATACAACATTCAAGTCTTAAATTTCAGTCAGATGATGCCTGTCAAGCTGACAGGAGGAAGTTAATACCAGTGGGACTAATTTTAAGACGTGCAAAAATTTCATGCTCTGGCTCTTTCCGGAGAATATCAGCTGCAATAGGATCAGGCTGAACACCATGCAGATCACCGGACACGCTATGTGATCGAATCATGCTGGAAGCAGCAATAGCCATCTGCTCTCCATTGGCATTAATGTGTTCTGGTAAGTTTGAACCCTGCACATGCAGATTTCAGAGACAACCAGAAATATCAAATAAAACATGTTGCCCAATGATAAAATGGCAAAAATATATGTTAAGATACACTAGAAAGAAAGAAATATTTTTAAGTTTTAATTCCCTGAGAAGAAAACCTTAACAAAAATACGCACCATGCAAGAATATAGATGTTGCTAGTCAGTGCATGTTTTTGTCTATGAACATGTATAGAGAAAGAAATGGGGATCCGTAGTTGCAAATTTACTCACAGCATTTCCATTTGTATGCAGATATGAAGTGTCTAGTTTAGTACTATCAGTCATGTTATCTTCTTCATCTGACCCTTCTATGCTCTCGAAGGCACTACCACTAGCTACAGGAGATTTGGGAGAAGTTCCTCTGAGAAGACTTGCAGCTCTCTTTGCTGAATTTGGATGACCAGCAGATTTCCCTGAAACAGCATAACTCATGATATCAACAGAATCATTGGTAGCTTGACCATCCCTCCTCCAGCACCCTCCCCCAAAAAAACTGAAAAATAAAACAATAATGATTAAAGACTAAAAGAAAAAATTATTAGAAGACCATATCACGAACAGAGCTGAAAGTTGCCTTCTCCTTATTAATGGTCACGAGCAATGGTATGAACATGCATCTGCTCACTACCAACAGGATGCGAACCTTCTTATTAAAGGTTATGAGCAATGGGATGAACATGCATCTGGTCACAATCTATTAATTGACATGCAACAAGCCGTCACTAACATAAACATCCTGTGAAGCAATATGCAGGAAGAGAATTAGGAAAAGTTGGGGAAGGCTCTTTTCGACCAATTTGTTAATATATCGTAGCGATCCTTGCAATATTTTACTTCAAATCCATCAATCGTGGAATGGAAGCAAGTGGTAGAGTCAATATACTGCCATCTACATTATCCATTGGACATTTTAAATTGTCTTCAAACTTTTTTAAATTATTTTCCCCCCTTCTAAAACTGGAAGTTAACCATTATGATGTTCCCAGCGAAAACTTCCTCTCATCTTTTAACCGCGACCTTCTACAGATATACCTTACTTATCCTCAACGAAGATGAAATGATAAAATGTCTAGCTGGTAAAAATCTGCAACTTGCAACAACGAATTATCATGGCCTGTTTGTCATTAGACTAAATATAAAGAGCATACGAACTTCACTGCTCGGTTCTCCAACATAAAGTAATAAAGATCTCATATCGCATGAATTCAAGTTGAGTAACACTTCTATTCAGATGCAAATACTCAACTGAAGCCGATATCAAATTCCTCATTATGCACATATATGTCATATTCAATTACAACTACCATGAAGCCATTACCAGTGAAAACCATTTTGTGAAATTAAACACATGATTGCTCTTTTATATATCTAAACGATTAACTGAAGCAGAGTTTTATCACTCCGGCGAGAATTCCAACAGAGCCATACCTTCACGCAGCATGTGGAGCCTCGGCAAACCGGGAGGGATCCCTTCGACGTGGACCGGTCCGTTGGCACGCCTATCTTCCGCGGCGTCAATTCCACCAGAAATGGTGGTAACATCCGGCAAGGAAGCCGAGCCACGTCGATAGTAACCATTACCCTTCCGCCTCCCATGGCCGCGTCGTTTCTTCAAGTGCTGCGGCGAGTCCCCATCAGAGTTCTCTTCCCTCTCCCTCTCCCTCTCAACAGTCTTGGCGAACTCAAGCAACTGAGTTAGGGTTTTCTTGTGCATGTAATACGCCGATATGGCAACGAATGAAGCTCCAACCAGAGCCGCCATGGCCAGATGCATAGTATACGTGTCCATCACTATAGTCTTTTCTGAGCGTGAAAAGTATCTCTTATCTTTCCAAATCTATCAGCCAGTTGGTAAGAGAAATGGTTACTTGTTATAGAAATATATATTGCGGGAGAGAGAGGGACAAACAGAAACCCTACTGAACAGTCTAGCAGAGGAAAGAAACAGAGAAGCTCTGTTTTTAATCGTGACAGACTGAGGGCTCTTCCTATATTTATAGGCGAGTCCAAAGGCACGAGCTCATTGCACTTATTCCTATCCCCATCACTCTTTTTGACAGTATCTGTTTTTCATTTTATGTAACAAAAAATTATTTGTGTTCACAGTAGTTTTTTAATATATATTTTATATAATAATAATAATCATTAGTTTTCCCTGTTTTTACAATAATTAAATTAGGAAGAAATTACACTGTGTTTTTACAATATTTTATATCTTTTTACAAAATTCTGGATAACTTTATTAACTTTTATGAGAACGTGAATTCAAAGAATGGAATATGTTTTCCGTATATCATAGAATGTGTATTTCAAGTTGGGGGATATGCTCTTATATGTTCTTATGTTAAAATATTTATATTATTTTAAATGTGAAAATATTATTTAATTAATAAATATATAAATTTATACTAAAAAAATTGACAATTAAAATTATTCTCACGATTACATAAATTTAAAAAGAAATAAAAATAATAATTATTTTTGGTCAAGTTTAGCTGGGTGTATGTATGTAGACAGAAGGGTGGAGTGTGAGTCACTTCCCTTATCTAAAACGTACTGGCTAATATGCCTTGCAGCTGTTGCACACGTGTTATAAAAAGAAAGGATATTTTTAATGCTGTATTTGGCAAAATAATGAATGCGCGAATGTTATTAACCAAACACTGTTTTAAGAGCCCCACAAATAACTGTCCGCTGCGGGTCACATCCCTTCTTTTTTTTATAAAAGAAAGTGTTAGATCATTTAGCAATTTTTTTTTTAATTCGTTATGATTATTTTAATTAAAAAATTTAATTATGATAAAATATTTTTTATATCTGAAAATATTATTTCGGTTGTTAACCTAAGTACTATCGTTCAAACAAGATATAATAAGTTAATGTCAAATTCTATTGAATTAAGTGTTATGATTATATCTATTAATTTATAATACATACATAATGTAACGTTCCGACTTTTCTACTGAGAAAAAACGCTCATAAATATTTTATCATTTAAACTTCATCCTTAACTTTAAGATTATGTTATTCTAAAATGTTGTTAAATTAAATGATCTTATTTTATCAACGTTCATGAGTAAAAAAATCATATATCAAAAGGTGTCAAGTTAGAATCCTAAACTAACTACGGATTCTTGTGGTTCCGAAGGATCTGGCTACAGGAGACTATGAACAATTAACTTCCCCCGCTTTTTCAACCAACTACTACATGTATAAATTTCACTAATGCGCAACAGTGTGCAAAAATAAAATTAATTGTACATCCTTTGTACAAAGTCAGATATATGAGGCCCTATAAAATTTTAGTTACATTACTATCTTATGTACATCGATTTTAAGAACAAATTAAAAGAACAACAATAAAACTTCTCCAGAGGCTTTTACTGATCTTCAGCTTGCTCTGAATCTGTCATAATATGAAATGGTTATAGAAATTTGGGGTGAGAATTCCACTATCTCAATAAAAAATGATAACAAAGATATGCAAACAATAAATCACGCAAGGTTGATAAAACAAATACAATTTTATTGAAAAAAAGTCCCGAGTTGAAAAACAATCATAACAATAATTCTTTTTCATTTGTCATTCCATATATTTCTTTCCTTCTCGTAGATATTGATTTCATATTTCATATCTAAATTTTCCTTTCACATACTCTAATTTCACATGTTCATACATAATTTCCTAGATATCACAGCATTTTAATTCAAAATCACATAACACTTACCAAAATCACAAACATAATTCTGGTATGAACAATATTCAATTATTTTAACATCATTCTTTTACTTGTTTTAATACTTCATCGCGCAATGTCGTTTTTATTAATACCACTGAGGGCAATAAAGATCTTCTCTACTATGTGGATATTCAGATACCATAGCAATAATAATCAAATCTCCATTCCTTGAAAGGCTATGGGTACAATCAAATCCTTATTCCTTGAATGTCTATGGGTACCAATAAATAAATTTCTAACTACACTTTTCGATGGGACTTCTCAGCCATGTCTAGCTGAGGTCGTATTCATGGTAGGGTTCACCGCATATCATCTGGCCAAAACTGGTAACACACACACCTTCCTTCTTTGGTACCTACTAAACAGATTTCCCATTGTCTTTTAGCAATACGTTCATTCTTATTTGTGGTTGTTCCAAAATGTCTTATTCCCTATTGTATTCTTTCTTATCTCATTGTTTTGCAATTCACAAATACCAATTAGATAAACCTTACTCTAACGCACATACATACACAACTTACATGTTTACCTATTCAAACCCATAATATGCATGCACCATACATATATACTTATATGCAAGGTTTCAATGCATATACGTTCAAACTAATTAAAATAATAATCAATTTAACAAAAGTTAGGTGCTATTACAGAATATACAACAACATACATATACGTACATCAAGCAAACACGCAACACATTAAAGTAACAACAACATACATATATGTATATATCAAGCACACATTCAACATATAAAGCAAATAGCAAAATACATATAATTTACACCTACACATATTACTTGTATAATCATATATACAACCCACACGTAATACTTATTTTCACATAGATTTGCACATGTTTTATAGATACATATATATATAAATATTGTTCACACAAATTATTTTTTACACTTAAATACACATAACCACACATATTAAAGTACATACCTACATACACATCCACACAAAGTGACATATATATATATATATAATTCAACATATATAATTAAACATATCTATACTTATCTATACTATAAATATATATATGTATATATATATCTATATCAAGCATACATACATTATGTATTATATATATGTTTATCTACATACATTAGACACTACATACATATATAAATTATAAGTACAAAATACACATAATTTATACAATATAAAACACATAAATATTCATGTATATAACTACAAAAATCTGCATGTACCTAAAACACTCACATATACATCGGTATCCATTTGCCTGTATACACAAAATCTTACACAATTACCATATATAGATATGTATATTATACATATTGAGGCATACATATACATAACTTCTCATTACACACTTGCACACATACATATAATCTATACTTATACATTCACATACAACATATTTGCACCTATATTAATATACATAGACAATCACATAAAATCATTCAACAATCCATATTTATATGCAGATTATACAGAAAATATATAATAAATTTTAAATAATCATTTTTAAATTAATAAATCATTTTATGAAAACATTAAATCCATGAATGAAAATTGACCCAATTATTACCTAAAAGCATAAATGAAGGTCATTGCTTCTCGATCTGTTAGAATACTAAAATGTGAGTACATAATTTTTTCATATCTTGTGGGTTTTATTGTAAATACTTGTAAAAGTAGGGTCAGTTTTAGAATTTTCATAAATTAAACCCTATGTATAAATACCCAAATTTTCTGCAATTAATACATTCTATCAATTTTTCCCAAACACTTGACCATGAGTTCTTTTCACTTCCTCTATTGTCAAGCTCTCGAGAACTACTTCTCTCTTTCTGCTTGTTAAATCTTCTTGATTTCTCATTAATTTCTTTATGTTTTCATAAAATTTGTCATGGTATCAAAAAGTCAATTAATATAGTGAGTCTACTGTTGAGGTAATAAAACCCTAGGCTCTAGTCTCGATGTCTTTCTCTGAAATCACGAGCTTTCTGATGCATGACTATCAGTATGGATATAGCCACAAGCATAGATTAGTCATAGCTTGAAGACAACATTTCAAATCTTTTCTATCTGCATTCAAATGAGAACAAATTTCTCACAGGTACAAACTTTCACTCATGGTCTCGTTCTATACGAATGGCTTTGATTTCCAAGAATAAATTAAAGTTTGTGGATGGACTAATTCTGGTCGCTAACCAAGATAATTCTCTGTACGGAGCGTGGGAACGATGCAATACTTTGGTCGTTTTCCTCATTATCACCTTCTATAGCGCAAAGCGTACTCTGGATAGATTACGTATAGAATTTATGGAAGGACTTGCGTAATATGTTTGCATAGAGTGCTTTAATTCAAATTTCAGACCTTTTGGATGAGATTTATATGTTGAGATAAGGAACAAACATAACAACTGATTACTTCATTCAGATAAAATTTATGTGGGATGAACTTTCGAATTTAAGACCAATTTATGTGTGTTAATACAAAATAAAAAAAAATATCAGGAAGAAGATAAGATAATTAGGTTTCTCAAAGGACTGAATGAGTCCTTTAGTATAGTGAAAACTCAAATTTTACTTATGGAGTCACTACCTCCTCTGAATAAAGTTTTCACCTTGGTTTTACAACAAGAGTGGAGTCTCGGTGCTGGGGGGGGTCAATACAATATGATTCCAGTATATTATATATGAATAAAACATCTGGACAACAACAAAGAGTGATCAATACGTATAATCCTGGTGTGAATAAGAAAAATAATGCAGTAGCTATGAATAAAAGGCCACCATGCACTCACTGTGGAGTTGTTGGCCATATTATAGAGAAATGTTATGAATTAAATGGCTATCCGCCAGGCTACAAGCCTAGGTCAAAGAATACATCCAGTGTCAATCAAGCAATTAGTCTGCTATCTAACAATAAATCTGAAGTATCTAAGTCCTCTATAAAGTTTAATTCGGAGTGCAATGTTTCATTGTCTTGCTTGTTTCCCTTACAAAAGAGTAGTACTAGAAATTGCTGATCTTGGTCTAACCTTCCACTTCTTCAACACATATTCCACAAGCTAACACTCTTGCAGCCAATTTCCACCATACACTAGAACTAGGTAATACTCTTCTTTCATTGACAGCCAAATAGATAATTGATTATGGGGCCATTGACCATATAGTTAGTTCACTTAAGATGTTTGCATTATATAGGTCTATAGATAATACAACCATACAACTGCCTAATTCACAAAAAGTCATTGTCA